ACTTCGGCACGTGTCGTACAGCACCGCCATGTTTGCTTGCCTGTGTCTTGTCGCTTTTTGTGTGGCCCACACAGGTGATGCTGTGTCATTGTTTTTTCGGCACGGCTAAACACCCCACCGGTGGGGTAGTTTCTTAACCACCCCACCGGTGGGGTGGTTAAGCCTTCAACACCCCACCAGCTGTATCTCGCTGTACAAGACTCCAATAGGCGCAGGACTTCAACGGGTATGCTGCTGCGTTGCAGGGCTATCATTGGATCCATCGTGAGGCCGAAACGGCACAGTTTCGTGGTGCCACAGTCGGTGGGGAACATACCGCCGCTACCCCACTGGTGGGGTCGATAACGTTATTGACCCCACCAGCTGGATCTCCCTCGACAAGGCTCCAATCGACACACAACCACTTGTAGGAGTGTCTGGTCGATGCACGCACAGCGCACAGCAGCGGGCAGCACCTGGGGCGGCGAACAGGTCAAGGAATCCCGCCGCATGACGCGAAACACCCGAAGTGGGTAGCGAATACTGCATGCTATTCTCTTGCAGGCAGACTTCCCCACTGCCGTATGTAGCCCTACAAGACTCCAATTGACACAAGACACGCACGACTGTATTGCTGCGTTGCATGACTATCGTGGGATCCATGGTGATGCCAAACGATAAAGGTTTGGTGGTGCCACGGCCGGTTGGGGTAAACCACGCATAGTCCATGCCCCACCGGTGGGGTGGATTAGGCCAAACACCCCACCAGCAGTATCTCGCCGTACAAGACTCAAATCGAAGCACGAGCGCCATGGTTTGAGCGTGCTGTTCATGCACTCACCACGTACACCACACACCACACAGTACACAATACACAGCACACACACTGCAACAGCAGCAGACGCGGGGTGAACAAGTCAACAAATCCCTCGGCACAGGGAAATCTTGCCTTCCTGACTTGTCATGTACAGTAGAATATCCACTGTTGTATGAACCAACCTGAGGAAATACATGTTCATACATTCCGAAATTGTTGCAGTTCCGTGCATGCGCCATGTCATTTGCATTGGAAGCATCGTGTCCGTTAGTCGGCGCTCTGTTTTAGAGAATGTGTGACGACGTGATATATTCTCAGTGTACTGGAGCCGCTTTGCATAGTACTGCATCAAGTACGTAAATACGTCCATCGGCGCCGAACTGCAAAAAGCGATGAAAAGTAGACCGAGCACAAGCAGGAAGGTCGTCGCCCACAGGTTAAACCCGTTGGAACTTCCAGTTGCGGTCATGAGCTTTCGGTTGTGTCTCGCCACACGAAACAAGTGTCGACATACAATTCATCACGAATTGTTGCCAGCCGCAGCCAAGGCATGGCTCCCCCTGCTGTCCCCGATTTTTTGTGTCTGGTAGACTAAACATAAGACGATTCCATGAACCCTAGTTCGCTACACCGATTTCGTTACCCCCTGGAACACGGACATTTGAAAATGCCCCCCAACTCTCTGAAAAGAACACACGGGGAATACAGTGGAAATCGTGTGGATCAAATTCCACTGTCGTTCTCCTCCGCGTGTTTACTCCTCTTCGTCGACCGGCGCCTGTTGCTGAAATCCCTTATCCTCTTGGTCGGATGGGACTTTCCTTGCTGCCCCTCCGGGTTTCCGGGTTCCTCTCTGGCCCCCGATCGATGCTGAAGAGGCTGCCTTCGACCGTCCTTCTTCGGCCTCCCTTTGTTGGGCGCCTCTCCAGGATTTTGAAGCCTGTGCCTGCCGCGGACGAGTTGAGAAGATACCGGAGATACTCCCCAATCTTGTCCTGGACGGACAGCGCTTGATGCAGGGACACGGAACTCATTATGTGTCCTACAAGCTCCTTGCTCTTCGCCATCAAATGGGCGTAGACTCGACGCTTGTCGGAAGCGCTTCTATCCTACGCGGCCCGCCCCGGTTCAGTAGGATGTATGCCGTCCACCGCTTCATCGCATGTCGGTCCATTCTCGTCTCTGCCTTCGTCATGGCCATCCCACCCTACGCCGTGGCCTGACGACGACAGCACCGATGAGATGCTCCACGGCGAATCGTTGCCATCTTCTCTTCGGCGCCAACGGTTGTGGACACATGCTGCGACGCGGCCATCGTCTCGCTCACGCCGGAGAGCCTCGAAAAGATGATGTCCATCATCGTGCGCGTGGCCGGCCTGTTCGGACTGATGGTATCGGAACCAAAGACGGAGATCATGTGCATGCTACCGAAAGGGCTGGGGGAACGCCCGTTCGCGGTCAGCGCCGCTGGCCAGACGTACAAGCAGACAGATCGGTTTGTGTACCTCGGACGTACCATCTGCGCGGATGGGAAGGTCGACCGGGAGATCACGAGCCGCATCTGCCGAGCATGGAAGTGCTACCGCCGGAACAGCACTTCGATGTACGACAGGAAACGGGCCAACCGCCAGCTCAAGATCCGACTACTCCAGGCTGAAGTGGTGCAGACCCTCCTATACGGGTGCGCCTCGTGGAGCCTGGCAGCGGAGCACTACACCAAGCTGAATGGGACCCACCGCCAGTTCCTGACACGGTGTATCGGCTGGAGCAAGCGGAAGCGCTCAGACCGACCCCTGTCCTACGCCCAGGCCCTCATCCAGGCCGGCTGCGAGGAAACCATCGAGGCCACCGTGCGCAAACGGAGGCTGTGTTTTGCGGGCTTCGTTATGCGCATGGAGGACAACCGCCTCCCCAAGCGCATGCTGCTGGGAGCGATGGCGGGGGGTACCGGATACCGGGGCGGGCAGGAGAGCGACTGGGTGTATCGCCTAGGAGAGGACCTCGTGGCGTTTGGCATGAAAGAGGAGAAGGAGGGGGGGAGATGGAAAGAGAGCGCCAAGGACCAGGAGGCGTGGTACGACAAGATCGAGGACGGGGCGGCATGGTTCATGAGGAAATGGCACAGACAGGAGGCGGAAGCATCCGCGAAGCGCCAGCGCCAGCGCGCGGAGGAAGCAGAGACGGAGAGCACGGCCGCCCCGGGCCCGAAGAGAAAGAGAATCGGGGAAGCGGCGGGGGGGGGGAAGAAACGGCGACCGGACAATGCTGTAGAAGCGAGTAGGGCGGCCAAGGCCGCGCTTGCGGCGAACGACGTACCCAACTGATGATGTTGTCGCACCCTGTGTTCCCTTTTCCCTGCCGTAAGCTGTATGCTCTTAGTATTGCCTCCCGCCTCTCTTTGTGCTTTTTTTCTTCTTTCTTTCCTTCTTGTTCTCCATGCCCTCTCCACGATGATCTTGGACGATACCTCGAGCTCCTTGTTATTTTTGTTTTTTCCTTTGCTGGCTGCCTGCCACCTCTGCTGCCTCTTTGGTGCGGTGCCTACCCTACACTAATGCGCTGGTGCATACTGCAAGGCTGTAGTACCTGGTACTGGTGTACGTTGTCCTTCGATTTTTTATTTTTTTGTGGGAATATACATGTGTTTGTTTTTCGCCCCCCGTCTTGCTGCACCCCCTGGGGTGTGGTGCAGGGCGGGGGATGCCTGGTCGGCGGGAACCCGGCACGGAACCCTCCGGCGTTGTAGGCGGGTGTGGGAAGCGTCCCCCGTTCTCCTTTTATTTTATTTTGATCGGTCTCCTCGACGCTCTTTCTCGTTTGGTGCGGTAGCTGGTCTTTCTTTCTATCATTTTGTTTCTCTTCCGAGTGATTTTTGTACCCTATTTTTTTTCTGTTTCTTCGTGGGGTCGTGTATGCCGGGTTGTGAGACCACGGGCTCCCAATCTTTCTTTTTTAGAGCTAATGTGAGAAACAACAACAACAACAACAACATGCGCCGTTGAAGGTATGGGTGAAGGCCATCTCGTCACTTTCGCCACTTCTCCCGATGAGGCTGACAAGCACCGCAAAGTAGTGCCTACAAGGCAGTCCGCGCCGCAATAGCTGTAAACAGGAACATAAGTGCAAGTTGTGAGGTCCGAACACCACGAGGTGGCTAGGTCTGTTAGGCGTCCACTTGTATCGAACGGCCACGACCAGTTCGATAGGAATATCCTCGATCAAATCCAAGGAGGCTGACAGCGACGTAGGCGCCCACATAGTGTTGTCCACCGCAGCTTCGCCGGCTAACTGGTCTCCCTCGAGATCGGTATCAGGTGGTGCGACCTGAAGAATGTTGAGCTTGAGGCACAATGAGCGAATCTTGGCGAGGTCGTGCTCGTAGAGAGGCAGCGGGTCCCCGTTTTCCTCCACACGACCTGAGCTCACCAACTCGGCGTCATACGACTGCGCTTCGCCTACCAGCGCTCTGACCTCCTGCGACGCAATGAGGTTCGACAGTGCGAAGATGTGTTCGATGGGGTTTCAGTTCTACTGATGGTGTCAGCTTGATAAATCACGGACACACCATCGCACGAATTCAACAGCGGCAACGATCCATGTACCAAAACACGACTCACTTGCTGGCAGTACTGGCTAGCACCACAGGCTAGGAGCTCCTGTTTCACGGGTCTGAAGGAATTCTCCATGGATATCCCGGAAGGCCACGCCAGTGCCAAGGGGGGGTGTCGCTAACCTGCATGCATGGCATGAAAAGCAGTGTTACATAATGTGTAGCGGAGGGAGNAGAGGGAGAAATCCACAGACAATGTCGATCCGCCACCAGTGTCTGTAGCTGCAGGTAGAGACAAATGCGCGCGTCGTATAACACATCGGAATATCCCATAAATCGAAGCACGCGGATACCTCCTGCTGCCATGGGTGACGAAAACAACAGAAAATTCACCTCGCAGTCTCCATGGCAATCATCTTGCTGAGACGTTGCAGGCGATCCTAAAGGGCGCACAAAGAGAGCTTCTTCTCGACGCCCAAGCGTTTTGCCACCCCGAACAAACCTTCGGTGCGCTGAGTAGCAACCATGCCTAGCGTGAGGACAGTGGGTCGGCAGCAGAACGCCCACTTGGTCTTGTTCCTACGACGGTTCATGACCGTACCAGAGTGAGAGAGTGAGTATCGAGCGTGAAAACGCGGCGTTCATGGCTCAAGCCAAGGCATCATGACCGCATTTCGGCGCTTCCTCGAAATGTACGGAGGGAAGTTACTCACTTGATCAAGTCCGCTATGTATCCTTTGCACTTCTTGCCGGCCACAAGTTGCTCCAACCGGGCCACTTGGGTCCCAAACACGTGCCACCGAATACAGTGGTAAACACAAGACACGTCAAAAGTTATGTTCACCGCTCGTTGTGGCGGGGCGAACTGGTGGGGTAGACCAATCCATTCTCTCGGGGGCGTCGTGTGGCGGCAACGTACGAGTGATTGCCATCGTACCTCCGGGGTAGCTGCAAAAGCTGCGTTTCTGAAGCAACGCATCATGTCGGTCTTGTCGTCATTGTTAGCAAATGATGACGAGCAGTTCTTGAGGACGTTCTTGAAGCCGTGCCACAAGCTGTGCAAATGCAGCGTCCCTGGCCAGCAAGAGGCTATTGCAGCCGTCATTGCAAGATCAGCGTCGGTCAAGATCACCTGTGGCAAAGGGTAGACGTACGTTGTCAACGGATGGGATAGGCCATGGACGGCGCGGTTATGTCGACAGCCACTAGACAAGCTCTTCTGCGTCTGCAGTACATGCCTCAACAAATATGGACGTCTATTTGATCCTTTATCGAAGCGACTTCATACTGTACATCATCCTGACCTCGTTCTACGCCATGAAAGAGTGTTGTGTACATCGTGACAGGGTCGCCTTCGGCTTCCGCCCACCGGCAGCGGCCTCATATCTGTTCAGGATCCATTCGAACGTCTCCGTACACTCAGACCGCAGCAGGCCCTGCCCCAAAATGCAGCTGCGACGTTCGTCGTCGACGCCCACGACGAACAGAAGGGGGCACCCGTACCTACAGACAAACAGTCAGCCCGAGCTACATGACGCATTGATACTCATTCTAGTAGCACCAAATCCCTCGACCACAAACGACGAGCGGAGGGTTTAAAGGGAAGCCATGAGCAGCGTAGCGTAACAAGCGCTCCCACATGTGCTGTGGAGACTTGTAACCTGTCGAAGATTTTGTGTGCATCTGTTCGTGAACACCGTTGTATCGAGCT